TGCACGGCCCGCGACCGCTCTCCCCACACACACGGAGAGCTGTTGTCCACTGTCCAAGTCGCTCTCTCCTCTCTTCCCTCTCCACCGCCTGCGATGTATCGCCCATCTCCACGGACACCCCACATGGTGCTCCACGTCCTTCCCCGTTGAGAACATCTCGCGATCTCCTCGTGGGTCCTCGTGGAGCCCTCCGTCTGTCTTTCCTCTCGCTTCTCATGGTCTCAACTTCATCTCCTTCCAGCCGAGTCTTCCCACCTTCTGCTGCTCGGTCTATCCTCGCTCAGCGTTCTCCTCCCTGCTGCTGCTGATGATGATGATAATGCCACGGTCACACGCCGACTCACGTCTTCATTTCGTGCAAGGTCTCTTCCGCTTACTCCACAACATAGCCATCTCTGACATTCTTATTTAGCCAACATGTAAACAAAGTCACGTTGTAGTCCATCAGCCCATTGGCTTTTCAGACCAACGTTACCAAGTGGTATCTGTTTCAGGAAGCAAACTCTGGACCGGTTTCGGCCTCATGGGTCTCATCAGTGCTCTAGGCAGCACAATGTGATTCCAGCGATGACAACGAGAATGGCGAAACTGCTCGTGAGTTCTGCCTCTCTTGGATTTTTGCCCACGACTCTGAACGGCATCTCGTGAAGAATAGCATCACCGTCGTGTTCTCAGTATTAGTATAAGACGTTCCGGGAAGTAAGACGCACCCCAAATGTATGCCAGTATTCAATTAAGTTATACAGATCTCATCTCGCACACATCTACCGGATTATTAGACGCACCTCTACATTTACCCAAATACAGGAGGCACAGGCTGTCTGGTAAACCGAGAAATGCGATATGTATCATCGTGATGCGGTATTATGTTCGTGTAATTTTTATTTTTTTTAAATCATCATCGCCTGTGTCGTTATCGCTGTTATCAGTGGTAGCAATAGCATCGCTAACAATGCCATCAGCAGCAGCAGAAGCATCAGGAGCAGCAGCTGCAGTCGCAGTATCCATCATCGGTAGCAGCAGTAACAAGATCATTAGCGTTTTCCAATCACCATTTATAAACTACAGCAATACTATCATCATGGGCAGTAACAACAACAGAATCATCATCATCATCCTCATCAGCTGCATCGTGGCTATCACAATTATCATCATCAATAGCAACATTAGCAATAATCAGCTGCATCAATCAACATAATCTTAATCGGAATCATCATGAAAATGATCTTCATCAGCATCATCATTAACATAATCTTCATCAAAAGCAGTATGTCGTCGTTGTCTTCATCATTATCACCATCGTCAGCAGTAGCGAGTTAATTATCAACATTAACAATAATTAATTATTCGGAGTCGGGATAAGGCATTGAACAGTTACGATCAAGACATTAAAAATGCACGCTTATAATGTGTGCGTTACTTGTCAATTTCCGGGCAGTCGATTATGACTTTAATAAAGCAATTACAGCACAAACGTCGATATGGTAGCTCTGAGAAAATTCTATTAGTCCTACGTTTACAAAAGGTAACTTATACTTTTACACACACGCGCGGATTTATATGTTTAGCCGATGAAAGTGCAACAATTTAAGCCGTAGATTGATGATAAATTGAGCTACAGCTATTTCACGTACACGAGATGGGGTGGAGTGGTGGCGTGCATGACATTGTGCATTGCGCAACGAACCTCCGGGTTACGTAAGTTCGATTCCGGTCACGGCTAACACGTGGCGAGTGATGTCCGACCAGAGTGGTGAAGTATGCTCAGAAAAAAGGTCCAACGACCAGTGGAGGCCTTCATCCAGCAGTGGATTGACCAAGGGCTGTAACATATATAATTTATATATTTTTTTATTTGAACTTACGACGTCTAAATTTTCATTCAGAATACACTTAAATGGAGGAGACGGAGCGATGAAATCGGCTCGTGTGTAGGTGCTAGGTGGATGTTCACATTGTAGGATCGTGAGAGGTGGCGACGGGTTTGGGAGGGGGGAGGGAAGCCTTAATCCAGCAGTGAATAGATCGTGGATAATTACAATAATTACAATAATGACGAGGATGTGCTTTACTAAATTAGATCCCTTCTCGCAAGGAACCATTGCGACCCATTAATTGCTTCGGGACAAGTATTAATATAGAACTATGATTGATGGTGGGGTTTTTTTTTTCTTCTAGAGATTTCACGTGCAGTTAATTTCATAATTTGCTGTTGACACTATGGGATCGCATTTCGCTGCCTTTTAACATCCATTTCACGCGAACAATTGCCTAATTACTTGTAGAAATTACTGGACTGCTATAACGGGGAATCGAACTGTCACTTCCTTGCTAACTGGCACCGTGGCAAACGTATTGGTCCCTATAAGGATAAATATATGTAGAGTTCAGAAGGTCAATTCAAGTCGAGTGGTCAAGCCCGGCCAACCCCATCTCACAGTCGCTTGCTTCTTTCTGCGAGTTCCTAAAGTTGTTACAAAGTCGACACCCGATCTCAAAGTTCCACCCGTAGAGTTTCATCAACACCACCACCATCACCACCGTCATGATCACCACCACCATCATGAATTCAGCGTAGGCCCACAGTGTGAGCGTGGTCACCAGCGTCGCACCGTAGACCACACAGCAACGCCACTGGCCTCGTCCGTCATTTGCCGGCAGCATTTCAGACAATCGCCACGCGGTTACTCCCTCGCCCGTCCCTCGCCAACTCCCACATGAACGTGTCATCAACGTCGTTGATCAACTTCCCACCGTGTGAAAGAAGAATTCACATTATCTGCATTTAGGTATTTACCTGTGCGTGTACAGTATTTGGTTATTACAATCTGTCTACTCGTTATACTCAGTCTCCTGCCCACCATATGCCGTTTTGTTTTCCTATGTGTTGCGCAGTTGATATGTCAATCAACAACCAGTCTCATCATCATCATCGCCACCGTAAGCCACCATCACCTCCAATCCGGCGTCAGATGTTCCCATTGATCGTCTACCCCCTGGGAACCGCTCTGTTACCTGCCCTCCATCCTCATCACCGTCAGCTTAACCACCTCGCCTGGTGTACACGAGGTCGTGGGTTCGATCCCGACCCTGACGCCTGTTGTATATTCTGACTTTGTATGGTCTCTCTCCCCGTGGTCGCGTGGATTTGTCTCCGGGTCCTCCAGTTTTTCCCATCCACATTTAGAATCGCCATCGCGCCTTTAGACTCTTTGGTTGCTGCTCGGCATTTCCACTGCACGCCACTTCGCCGAGCCATCATTAGCGGCCGGCTCGCTTCTGGTAAAGAGTTGCATAGCTCAGCGGGCCTTGCCCGGTTAAAATACAAAAAAACTAGTTTACCCTGCACACGATGTAGCACCCCTCACAACCTCCTCATCCTGCCTGCGCCTCCATCACTCGCCTGCCGCCGCCGTTCTGTTCCGAGCGACCTCCCAGGCGCCGCTCCGGGCGGGCTACGCCACCAAGAGCAGCGCGAGAGCCGCCACCACTGGAGCGGAGACCAGCGCATGTCGTCTACTGCCATCGATGGGGGAGGGGGTTCGTTGTCTAGTGGAGGGGGCGGGAGGTGGAGGGGGGGTCCATCGGGAAAGAGATGGAGCAAAGTGAGAGAGAGTGGGGGGCAGGGCTGATGGGGGGAGGGGGGGGGGCAACGGACGGGGGGGGGGGGGGGGGGGAGAAGGGCGTCGGCTGGGAATGCATTAATAGCGTTTCAATTTCCTACTAAAGGGATTTGAATCTCCACTGGGGATAAGAGGCAATAGTGGCAGATGGACACGCACTCTCTCCGCGCTCCCATCTCCCTCTGCACGTGCAGTTTGATGACATGCTCACGTTGCGTATGCGTCTGCCTGCCGCCAGTAGCATAGGTGCTCGCCAATAGTGCTTGGACGCATTGTAGGATGAGCAACAGGAACATTTAAAAGTGTGTTGTTGTTGTCCGGAAACAATGTTAAGTCTTCCCCTCTAACAGAGGTCTTCTCCTCTCGACGACGACGTAAGATATTGGTGCCAGAGTGATGTGGCACTACTTGAGAATATTGGCACAAGACATGGATCGTGATGATGATGATGAACAGTGTTTATCGAGCTAACTACGCCCCGCCGCCTTTGTTTCACCGTAGCAAGCACTCATTTTTGGCCGAGTTAGCCTAAGGTAGAAGTAAACCCGATTTTCGTTTCAGTTTGCCACTCCAGAATTGCTGTACATAGAAGTCAAACAGTCAAGCAAACTATTAACCACCGTGACAATGTTCATCACCAACAGCCCTTTGTAAATCCACTGCTGGATGAGTGCCTCCCGACTTCGTGCGAAGAAAAGGGATGTTTGACTATACTTCACCACGTTGGTCGAGTGAGGGTTGGTGGTCACGGAATACAATACTGCCCTGTGTTGTTCTACTTGTATAACACCTGGTATGCACGGGGGTCGCACATCTCCGTACAAACCAGGCTCAATCCCGCTTGGCTTCCAAGATGTGACGAGTTTGGGCGCACGCATGTGGTATTGATGTTGTTCATGTGTCCAGAAAATCCTCGCCGGGTCTCGAAGACATTTGTTGCAGGAGGACGCTGCGATATTTGGATGTTTGGCCAATATATATTTATAGTAATAACAAATTTGAGTACGTGACGAAACCCGTCTCACTCACGAGGGGATAACACAACAACTAGGCTCACAGATAGGTGCACGATCCGACTTGCTGTACTGCCAAGTCTCGGGTCTACCACGTGCGTAGCACGGCGCGAGTTTGGAAGCTGGCGACGATCTGGTGTCAGAAAGCTCCAAAATTCGAGGGACACTGCTGATGAGATCCTAAAGGTCGAAAGCGGTGCAGAGTTTGCAACGGGTTAAACAAATACCGCATGGTATCATCGGTCTGGGATGCCACTCGGCTGATGTACTAGGCCATGTCTCTATTTGTAGGTGAAGACACGGAACGAAGCTGGGCTAATATTTGTGTTTTCCCGGTCGCTTCTCGCTGTGGAACATCTTCCAGTGGGAGCCGGGGAACTTCCGTCATCGGCCGACTTCGAAGAGGGCTTCTTCCGACGCAAGCAGAGACGCAACCGCACCACGTTCACCCTCCAGCAGGTGGGTGCCTCCTGGAGACTCCGGAGGATTTCACTCAAATCGCCATCGTATTAAAATTTGTGGTGTCGCGTTGGCAGTGCTGCACAAGCACAGATATAGGACAAGCGCAAAAAACAACAATAACAATTCAGAGTTCGTACGTACCTCTCTGCCTTACAAGGACATGAATATAATTGGTAACGTTTCGGGCAATGGCCCTTCTTCATAGCACATGATTAGGATTATATTGTTACCAGGTAAGGCCCACTGAGCTATATATTCAGAAGCGACCTGGCTACAAATGGTCGCTTAACAAAGTGGCTTATTACGTGGACATTTAAAGGAGCTAAACCGTCATCAGCCACCACCAGCATAGGCATCATATTGAGCAGCAGCAGCAGCAGTACTATGAACAATAGTATCGTTAGCAACAAGAGTATCGTCATCAATCTGTGTTGTCGTCAGTAGCAGCCATGTCATCAGCAGAACCGGTATGCAATATTGTCATCAGATGCCCGGCCGATTTTACCTCCTCGGGAAGGCCCATGACCGGTTCGGATAATCGTCACCAGTGCTGGCCGTGAGCGGGAATCAAACTCGGTCCGCCGGGTTCGTAGCGCTACACCACCGCTCCCCATAGTACGCACGTGCACGCACACACAGACACAACTTGACACTCGCGTGACGTTCTTCCCACATCTTGACAGCTGGAGGAGCTGGAGTCGGTCTTTGCTCAGACGCACTACCCAGACGTGTTCACGCGGGAGGAACTTGCAATGAAAATCAACCTCACCGAGGCACGAGTCCAGGTAACAACACCTTTACTCTGTCAAGACAAAGACACCCCCCCCCCCCCCCCCCACCCACTCCGTATAGCCTGTAACAAACTATTGGGGCTCAAGTGCTGAAGGCTGGCACTGCACTCGTCCCAACGGCGATGTTTACGCGCCTCACGCCAGGTACTCATTTGAGGCCGAGTCGACCTAAGGAAGGCCCAGGACCGGTTCAGATTATCGTCACTGGTGTTAGCGGTGAGCGGGAATCGAACTAGTGTCGCCAGGTTCGTAGCGCAGCACGCTAATCACTGCGCCACCGCTCCTCACTTGCATACAGTGAGGGAAAAAAGTGTTTGATCCCCTGCTGATTTTGTACGTTTGCCCACTGACAAAGAAATGATCAGTCTATAATTTTAATGGTAGGTCTATTTGAACAGTGAGAGAAAGAATAACAACAAGAAAATCCAGAAAAACGCATGTCAAAAATGTTATAAATTGATTTGCATTTTAATGAGGGAAATAAGTATTTGACCCCCTGACAATCAGAAAGATTTCTGGATCCCAGGTGTCTTTTATATAGGTAACGAGCTGAGATTAGGAGCACACTCTTAAAGGGAATGCTCCTAATCTCAGCTTGTTACCTGTATAAAAGACACCTGTCCACAGAAGCAATCAATCAATCAGATTTCAAACTCTCCACCATGGCCAAGAACAAAGAGCTCTCCAAGGATGTCAGGGACAAGATTGTAGACCTACACAAGGCTGGAATGGGCTACAAGACCATTGCCAAGCAGCTTGGTGAGAAGGTGACAACAGTTGGTGTGATTATTCGCAAATGGAAGAAATACAAAATAACTGTCAATCTCCCACGGCCTGGGGCTCCATGCAAGATCTCACCTCGTGGAGTTGCAATGATTATGAGAACGGTGAGGAATCAGCCCAGAACTACACGGGAGGATCTTGTCAATGATCTCAAGGCAGCTGGGACCATAGTCACCAAGAAAACAATTGGTAACACGCTACGCCGTGAAGGACTGAAATCCTGCAGCGCCCGCAAGGTCCCCCTGCTCAAGAAAGCACATATACATGCCCGTCTGAAGTTTTCCAATTAACATCTGAATGATTCAGAGGACAACTGGGTGAAAGTGTTGTGGTCAGATGAGACCAAAATGTAGCTCTTTGGCATCAACTCAACTCGCCGTGTTTGGAAGAGAAGGAATGCTGCCTATGACCCCAAGAACACCATCCCCACCGTCAAACATGGAGGTGGAAACATTATGCTTTGGGGTGTTTTTCTGCTAAGGGGACAGGACAACTTCACCGCATCAAAGGGACGATGGACGAGGCCATGCACCGTCAAATCTT